TTTCTCCGATGGAAATAGGGATGTCCCATTCCATAATGATACGTTTACTGTTTATACCCCACAGTAAACTGGGTTGCCCCAGCCACTCTGGGCAGCTTCCAACATACAGTCATACCTCATGTTACGTTTGCTTCTGGTTGAGCGTTTACAGGTTGCGTCCCACAGCAACCCGGAAGTAACAGAACGGGTTACTTCCAGGTTTCGCCGCTCGCACATGCGCAGACGAGCAAAATGACATCACGCGCATGTGCAGAAGCGGCGAATCGTGACCTGTGCATGCACAGATGCGTAGACGCGGGTTGTGTTCTTTTCAGGTTGCGAACTGGTCTCCGGAACGGATTCTGTTCGCAACCAGAGGTACCACTGTATATACAAACATAAGAAAACATTAAACATTTAAAAAAACCCTTTCCCTATACAGGATTGCCTTCAGACTGCTCAGGGATTGGCTAACTCCATACCCTCCAACTTTTCTCTGATGAAAATAGGGACATCCTAAGGAAGGTCCGTATAGTAAAAACTATGGTTTTCCCAGAAGTGATGTATGGAAGTGAAAGCTGAACCATAAAGAAGACTGATCGCCGAAGAATTGATGCTTTTGAATTATGGTGCTGGAGGAGACTCTTGAGAGTCCCATGGACTGCAAGAAGATCAAACCTCTCCATTCTGAAGGAAATCAGCCCTGACTGCTCACTGGAAGGACAGATCCTGAAGCTGAGGCTCCAGTACTTTGGCCACCTCATGAGAAGAGAAGACTCCCTGGAAAAGACCCTGATGTTGGGAAAGATGGAGTGCACAAGGAGAAGGGGACGACAGAGGACAAGATGGTTGGATAGTGTTCTCGAAGCTACCAGCATGAGTTTGACCAAACTGCGGGAGGCAGCGGAAGACAGAAGTGCCTGGCGTGCTCTGGTACATGGGGTCATGAAGAGTCGGACACGACTAAACGACTAAACAACAACAACAAAGGAAAAGTGGGACATTCCGGGTCAAATCAGAAACCAGGACAGCTTCTCTAAATCTGCAGCTCACTAAGCCCTGTTACCTCTTCAGCTTCAGTCAATCAATCAATCAATCAATCAATCAATCAATAATGTGAATTTGTTAATCTGCATCTCAGGGAAGTTAAATGCTTAAAATTGCTACACATTGGGGAAAGAAGAGACAAGTATTTTGCTTACATATTTATTTTTATTTCACAACATTTATATACTGCTTCATTGTATGAAAGCTTCAAGGTGGTGTTTGAAAAGAATAAAAGCAATGACATTTTCAGTAAAATGTTAAAAACAAGTACTTAAAACATTTTTTAAAAACTAAAATCAGCAAGAAGAAAAGACCGGATTAAAACACATGTCAAGATTCCACAGGTCGAGACAGGCTTGCCTGTACTTAGCAGGTGCCAAAAGGAGTACAGCGGAGGCGCTTGCCTGATGTCAGTAGGAGTTTTGAAATGTAATTGCTGCCACACTAAAATATCAATTTCTTACAAGTGCAGAACGAGCATTATGTGGCAGCCGTAACAAGCACCAGTTCCTGAGATCAAAGTATTTGAGTGGCATTTGATATGGCATAAGGTGATCTTGCAAGCAGCTACCCAATGCAATGAAAACCAACAGTTGTTACAAAGGAGGGATAAAAAAAAAAAAGCTGGCAGAACAAATTACTTAATAAAGTTAAGCAAGCGACGATACTTTGATTGAGCAATCATAAAAAGCAGCAGGGACTCGTGGCATATAATTCTCAACCAATCCACAAACCAAGTGCTTCCTTTGCTGTGTTATAGAGCAGCATATTTATTTCCTGCAGAGGCCGAAAATGAAAAATATGCTAACACAGCAACAAAAAATCACAGAATATTTTATTTCCCTTAAGGGCATCTAGCTCGGCAGCTGATTTAAAATTTTCATTCCGTAGAGATTGCATTGCATTGCAATTTTTATATCTCCGAGTTCATCACCCGCGGTTTAGAAGCTCCAAATAACTTCATAAATATGAGTCATTACATTAGGAGAAACGTGTATATATGGCCCAGCTTTTTTATAGTAAAGGACAATGAATAAAGTGAATTAAAGCAGGCCAAACAAATTAATAAGCAAACTGCTCTTTTAAAAAATAAATAAATAAGCATGGAGTTATATTAACTCATGGAAGGCAAGTTACACGAAACTGGAAGGTCATGTTGCTCTAAAAATATTTCTCATTGTATCTCCATATAGACCATTATTACAAAAGTGGCAATAGGTTTTGCTTCTTTTTCTTGAAAACTCAAACTGAATCATAGCCTGATCCTCCAAAAAAGGTGGGGGGTTGCACAGCTACAAGGACGATGAAGGTCTTCCACATTTCTCAAACGCACCACCATCTTGGACCATCACAGTCTTTGGAAATGCATACTTTTTCCTGATGGACGTTGCATTAAGGAGCACCTGACTATACCTATTCTGGTGTGCAGAACCAATGGACGTATGTGAGAGAGCAGGTAAAGGCAGGGATCCAATTGTGGACTTGTTCACACTGGAACAAAATGTAGATTTGCAAAGACCTGTCTCTCCATTAATGTAGGGGGCATCCACATAATGTCGTCCCAATCCCAGTGTTTGTTCACATCCCAGTGGACATGTCCTGAACCATTCCTACATTTGATGGGGAGTCAGGAAGGTGCAAATCCACACCTTGGTTCATTGCGCAGAAGCTCTGTACCAGATTCTCCAGCCAGTTTCTCAAGCACAGGGCATGGAAGCAGCAGTAGGTAGTTACTACAGCTCTTTGCTATGGTGCGCTGTGTTGTCCTGTTATGCAGTGTGGCTCTCATTAGGCTTTGGTCCAGCCCACTCATCAGTGGGGGCAAATGAATTTTGCCTGGCCTGCTCATTGATGAGAGAGAACAGATACCAATGGGGAACTGATTGCAGTAAATTAAATAAACCCATTTTATGCAAGTGTTGGGGTTCTACCTGCCATCAAGGGGCCAGAACCTGGATTTGCCTGGGCCAGTATAAATAATAATCCATTTTTATTGGGGCAGGAGTTTCTAGTTTTCTTCCTATGCTGATACAGCTTTAAGAGAGTTCAGAATTTATGTATCATGTTGATACATTCATCTGGGATTTTCATACCCCCCAACATTTCTCTGATGAAAATAGGGATGTCCTATCCAATCATCATCATACGCTGCCCATCTGACTAGGTTGCCCCAGCCACTCTGGCCAGCTTCCAACATATAAAAAACCATAATAAAACATAATAAAAATAACTTTGCTATACAGGGCTGCCTTCAGATGTCTTCTAAAGGTTGTAGAGTTACTTACCTCCTTGGCTCAGAGGTCGCATAACTCCATACACTCCAGGATTTCTCCAATGAAAATAGGGGCATCCCTGTGATCTAAACCACTGAGCCTAGGGCTTGCCAATCAGAAGGTCAGTGGTTCGAATCCCCGCAATGGGGTGAGCTCCCATTGCTCAGTCCCTGCTCCTGCCAACCTAGTTCGAAAGGATGTCGAAGTGCAAGTAGATAAATAGGTACGGCTCTGGTGGGAAGGTAAACGGTGTTTCCATGCGCTGCCCTGGTTCGCCAGAAGCGGCTTAGTCTTGCTGGCCACATGACCCAGAAGCTGTAAAGTGAGATGAGCGCCGCAACCCCAGAGTCGTCCACGACTGGACCTAACAGTCAGGGGTCCCTTTACCTTTACCTAAGGGAAAGCGGGACATTCCAGGATCAAAGCAGAAACCTGGACAGTTTCTGTAAATCTGGGACTGTCCCTAGAAAATAGGGACACTTGAAGGATCTGGATTTTGGAGGGCAATGCCATTTGTTGCATTTTGCAGGGAATTCAGGCGTCTGGGATAGTATATATGAGCTACTTTTCTCCCTCTCGTTTTTTGATCTTCGTGGGATCTTAGCACATCTGGCATCACTTACTACAAAGCACCACACTGATCACATTCTGAATAGCAGTGCCTGCCTGTATAACTTCTGTGCCTCTGTAGCATCTGAAGTGTTCAGCGTGGATTTCATATGTTACCTTGGTTATACTCCAGCAGAACCAAAAAGGCAGCCAGAGTTATGCATCCTGTAGATAGAATAATAAGGCATTGGGGAACCTGTGGCTCTCCATAGAATACAACTCCCATCATCGCTCACCATTGCCCATGCTGTCCAGAGCTCATGGAGTGATTCACAAGTTCCCCTTTCCCTAAAGTCGGTAGATAGGGTGGGAAGGGTGAGCAGATCTCCAATAGCCCTTTTCTGCCTCTGGGAAATATGTCCCAGATGAACTGCTCCCCACCCAAAGGAAAGGCTCTGTTGAAAATCCCATCACTGTGAGAAGTAAGCTCATAAGCAGGGCAGGCTTTGGCCTTTCCTATGACTGCCTCAAGACTTTGGAATGTCTAGCCTGGGGAAATTTGCAAAGGCTCATCTTTATTAGCCTTTTGGAAACAGTGCAAAGCATATCTGTTTCTTCCACCACTTAGCGGCTTAAGTGTTTTTGATTGCTGGGCTTGACGACATTTGAGCTTAGCTCTTATTTCAGTGCTAGCTGCTATATTTTAAATTTGCACTTCGGACGTTCATTTCGATTTGATTTTTGTATTGCAGATTTATTTGTGTTAACGTCCTCAGAGCATTTGCAAGGGCAGAATGAGAATTCTAAAGGACATGAAAACTTGTTTGAGAGCCAGTGTGGTGCAGTGGTTAGAGTGTTGGACTAGGACTTGTGAGTCCAGGGTTCAAATTGCCACTTGGCCATGAAGCTCACCTTCCTCTCTCAGACTAACCTACCGCATGGAGTTGTTGTGGTGATTAATTGAGTAGGGGGAGAACCATGTATGATACCTTGAGCTCCTTGGAGAAAAAGGAGGGATAAGAAAGAAAGAAAGAAAGAAAGAAAGAAAGAAAGAAAGAAAGAAAGAAACCCACAGTGGCTTCCTTCCCTTCCACACTCAACAAGACAGGTCTCTGAGAGCAGAGCCATTTAGCATTTCCTCCCCTCTCGGTAGCTCCCTCTTGGTAACTCAGTTGGTAGAGCATGAGACTCCTAATCTTAGGGTTGTGGGTTCAAGCCCCATGTTCAGAGCCGTCTTTCCTATTGGGCTTACTGGTGCACTGCGCCAGGGCGCTGGCCTCTCAGGGCGCCCCAGCGAGTGGAGGAGCTGTGCGGCTTTGCCAGTGGCCTCCCCTTTCCCTGCACACACGCCAGCTGTGCCCGTCAACTATATGGCTGGCGGGTGTGCTGCTTCTTCCCAAGCCTCCGCGGGAGGAGAGCGATCCCTGCAGAGGCTTGGGAAAAGGTTGACAACTCTGGGAAACGGTGGGGGGGCGCCGGAGGGATCTTTGCACCACGGCGCCGGATATGCTTCAGACGGCCCTGTCCATGTTGGGCAAAAGATTCCTGCATTGTTAGACTATATGACCCTCGTGGTCCCTTCCAACTCTACAGTTCTATGATTCAGCAGCAGCAGCAGCAGAGAGGGACTGAAATGAAGCAAAGAGCCCAGAAGGGCTTCTTGCTTGCAGCAGTGGCAGAGGAAAACATAGGCTACAACAGGGACTGCCAAAATGGTGCCTTCCAGATGTTGTTGACCTCAGACTCCCATCAACCCCAGCCAGCATGATCAATTGGGACAATCATTTCAGAATCATATACAGTGGTACCTCTGGTTACGTACTTAATTAGTTCCAGAGGTCTGTTCTCAACCTGAAACTGTTCTTAACCTAAAGCACCACTTTAGCTAATGGGGCCTCCTGCTGCTGCCGTGCGATTTCTGTTCTCATCCTGAAGCAAAGTTCTTAACCCAAGGTACTATTTCTAGGTTAGCGGAGTCTGTAATCTGAAGCGTATGTAACCTGAAGCGTATGTAACCCCAGGTACCACTGTAATAAGAAAATGAATTTTTAAAGTATGGGAGAGGTATAAAGACTTATTAGAACAAAAAACACCCTGATGGCTCTCCCTGTTAGAAGCACTATCTGTGAAAAAAGTACATGTGTGGACAAATTAGCCAACATATAGAGAGCTGTTAACTGAGGTAGAAAACCAGGTAAAATTAAAAGATTTTGAAGAGATGAGAGAACAGGTTACAATATCATCAATTAAATTACTTTTTAAAAGCAGATAAAAAGAAAGGTTTCTGTTATGAATTATCAAGATTTCAAAGAGAGATTTTGGAAAATAATTTTAAATTATTATCAAAGATGTACAATTTGCTCCTGGAATGGGATACTAAAGGTGAACAGGTGAAATCAGTGATGATAAAATCGGCAAAAGATGTGGGACATAATATACAAATGACAGACTGGGAGAGGCTATGCTATGGAAAACTGATCTGAAATCTATAGCATGTTCTTCACTGAAAGAAAACAATATGAAAATGATGTATCAGGGGTACTTAACCCCAGTAAAACAAGCAAAAATGTATAGAATGAGTACCAATATATGGGGGGCTACTTGAAGATTCTGACACCAGTGTTTCCTGAGGCTGGAAGGTACTTTGACCCCCTGATACGGTAGGCGAGGCAGTTATGGAGGTGAATCAGGAATCCTTCTGAGTCTAGGACCTCTGGCATCACTTGTGCGGGGATGCTGGAATCAGGAGTCTGTGTGAAGTCCTCAGACTTCCTAATATGCAGGTTTCCATATGTGGAGGAGTCTGCCCCGGCAAAACAAACCCTGTGTTGCAGCCTCTGGGTCCTTAAGCCCCACCCCTAGCACCAGACACTCAACTAAGACTCATTGGGTTTATTTGGGCTGGTTTTCAAAGTCAGAATAACAGAAGCAAGTCTAGGAGGCCAGAAATTCGGAAGCACTCTATAGAGTTGACCGTTTCCACTGGCCACGGCAGAGAACAAAGAAGCATAAGACTATAAGAAGAGCCTGCTGGCTCAGGCCAATGACCCATGTAGTTCATGTAGTTCAGCATCTGCTTCTCTCAGTGGCAAACTAGATGCCTGTGGGAAGCCTTTGTGCTGAACCCAAGTGCTGATATTAACAGAAATCAGCAGCTGATGTCATTAGGAATTCAGAATTGTGGTGATCACAGCCCAATGGCGCAGGAAAACCCCTGGTCCTGTGCTGGCAAATTCCCATTTCCATTTGTGGGCAAAAAATACCTTCCTGAGGCCTTCTGCTTTGTTTGGTTTGGGTAATAATAATAATAATAATAATAATAATATCTTTATTGTCATTGCCCCCTTCGGGGACAACGAAATTACAATAATGCAAGGAGGTAAAGCATGTGCATCCATATCTGGTTCTGTCGTCCCCCCTAGATCCAGACATAACCTATAGAAAGCATCAAGTCTTATGCTAGAAGGAATTTAAATAAATGAGCTGAACTCTCGTTTCTGCTTTCTCAAAAGCGGCAGGCGTGGGGGCGACGCATCATTTCCTGAAAGGAACATATGGTTTTTATTGTTCTGCCCACAACGAGGTTAGAATTCATGCTGCGTTGAAGTTTTATAACAGAACTTTTTACAAGGTTCCAGTTTTGATACGGAGGTTGACATTTGGGGGGTTAAGCAGTCCACAGTGGTACAGATAGATCATTTTAGACTCACTTACTGCAAAATGTGGTAAAATAGCCCTCTTGCATTGGGGTGGGAAGGAGGGGCCTTTTCTCAGTCATTCCTTCCCCCTTCACCAGCTGCTGCTTCGCCATTTATTTTTCACTTAAAAAGGGTTTATACAGTCCACAATCCCAGGAAACTTAGGGGGTCAGGTAATGAACATGGCACCCATGTAGCCAGTCATCTTTGGCTTATTTTGGGCAGATTCACACCACACATTTAAAGTGTGTTCAACACACACTTAAAGTGCATGATTTGCCCCCAAGAATCCTGGGAGCTGCAATTTGTTAAGAGTGCTGGAAATGGCAGCTCTGTGAGGGGGAAACTGCTCTCTCCATTCTCCAAGAGCCAGGCAAAATCACTGAAGGAGGGCTCAGAGGAAGATTGGTGAGCCATATGGTTTGAGGAGTCTTCACTCCACTCTGCCTAATGGTACAGCTGAACCCTGTTGTCTGAATGGCCGCATCTCAAGAGCTTTTTCTGCACACTTTCCTAGCTTTAAGATCTATGGATACGCTTTGTGGCCCCATCTGAATGCAAAGCATGCGCTCTGTCCCTCTCACCCTAACTGGGCCCCATCTCTAATACATTGGCATCCCAAATCTCCTGGCACCTGAGAAATACCAAGCATAGATTTCACTGGGGGTTCACAAACACCTCCCCCTTTTTATTCTGCTTTCCATGCTTATCTCAAATCAGCCAAATTCATTAAAGGTTTAATAACGTGGGTGTGTTTGTGTGCTGGTGTTTTTTCTTCTTCTTTTAACAAAATGGGGGGGGGGATCCTTCCTAGCCATCTCTTTTTGTAAGCAAATTTTTTAGCCTCCCTTTGTCATGCTCACTAAGTTTACTGGCAGGGCTAGGAAGAGGGTGCTGCGATGGATGGTTTTGCTGTTGCCAAAAGGCTGCTAAGGAACTTAGGAAACCAGACAAAACCCCGGCTGCACATGCCTTTGTCTGAATCGAAGGCGAAAGGTGGGAGTTTCCCTGGCAAGGGGCAAAGCTAGACAATTCTGCTCTCTTGCCAGTTGGGAATGTTGCTTCAGCTGTGGCAGCAGAAGCAAGGACAGTTTGCTAAAAGAGATTTACAGGACTGAGCTACGGAGGTGTCTATAGAGCCAGCTGTTCCACTTGCTTTAGCCATTAAATTTACACATTTAATTGGGTAATCCAAGGTCAAAAGGAGCTACAAGAGAGAAAGAGTTTGGTCAGTGGGGCGAATGATCTTCTGAGTACCAGGGCCAAGAAGAGTGGGGAGTTGGAGCTTTTGCTTCATAGTAAAAATACAGCTCTGCAAGATTTTGACTATATGCATATGAAACCAGAGGTCCTTCCTGGATACCACTGTCTTCAGAGGTGCAGTGAGTGATGTTTGAAGACAGGGCCTATTCAGTGGTGGCATTTTTGCTGAACCTCCTGCTCTGCATTCTGCTTGCCTATCTAGTCAGAGCTGTCCATGGTCTGACTTCCTTACCTGAACTCTTCCTTCACCTTCCTGGTCCTCCTGTGGACTTTTGTCAAGAACACAGGGATAGGTAAGCTGCTCTATCTCTCACCCACAGGCTGTTCCTGAAACAGACCTGGTGTCGCAACGAAACCTCCTCAAGCAGCTGGCGGGGGGGGGGGGGAGCACTGCTCCAGAATGGTCCACCACTGATATCTGATCTGGATGCCTTGGAAACCTTTTGTTTCCCCATGCTACATCGGGGACAAAGTGGGAAATTAAAATTGTGAGTGTGTCGTGGCAATTGAAGGACCACTGCTGCCACTGGGTAAGCCCATCAGGGTAGCCAAATGTCATAAGAGGTGAGCCATCAGAGGATATTAAGCCAAGCCTGCAGCCCATCCTGCCTTTGTTTTATTGGTGGTGGAGCACTTCCTTTGTCTGAAAATGACCACCAATTCCACCCATAGTACCTCAGGGCAAGGAGCTGCTGCAGTTCAGCGCATTACAGTGCAGTTCAGTATAATTGTGTTCCTGCCATGGACAGTGATAACTGCCTTCCACTCACCTGCTGAAAAAGACTTGTTGCAGTGAGGACAAAACCAGTCCTCCATCCCAAATATCCCGGCTTTATTTAATAACACCAGAAGAGCTTTGCTGGATCAGGCCAATGGCCCAGCTTGTCTGTTCTCATGGTGACCAACCAGATACCTTCAAGAAGCACACCCTCCAACGTTTCTCTGTTGAAAATAGGTACATCCTACCATACCCTCCGACATTTCACCAATGAAAATAGGGGTGGCGTTGTGATCAAAACCACTGAGCCTCTTGGGCTTGCCGATCAGAAGGTCGGTGGTTCGAATCCCCGCAACGGGATGAACTCCCGTTGCTCAGTCCCAGCTCCTGCCAACCTAGCAGTTTGAAAGCATGCCCAAAAGTGCAAGTAGATAAATAGGTACCACTCCGGTGGGAAGGTAAATGGCGTTTCTGTGCGCTGCTCTGCTTTCGCCAGAAGCAGCTTAGTCATGCTGGCCACATGACCTGGAAAAACTGTCTGCGGACAAACGCT